AGCAGCACTTCTATTGATGGTTTACTTGACTCTGCTAGTGTCAGAATTCACTGTAGGGTTTGGGCTCTTCAGTAATGTGGAGCCTGGTCAGCAAAGCCTTTTCATTAACTTGGATTAGGCCTTGGAATTACTCTTCATCAGCTCAGTTTAAAACTTTGCTTTGAGCTTTCTCACCCATGCGGGAGAAGTTCTTCACAAGTGAACCTCTTCTCTGGCTCTATTATATAAATCCAGCTTGATCCTTGGTGTCTTGCTTCTTAATGTACTATGCAGCTGTCTCACACTCTTCACTTCCATCTTCATGTTGCTCCTCCCAGCAGGTCAGCTCCTTCCACTCTGTTGCTTTGTTCATTCCTTTCAAATAAGCACTTTTTTATAGTGCTACTTACAGGAATTACCTCTCCGGTAATGGGTCTGAATCACAGCCTAAACTGTTGCTTTATGCATCTTAAAGAAGCCTATCTTGTCCTATTCTGTATAGTAGCATCATGTCTGTAGACACTGCAGTGAATTGTGATGAAAAGGAGGAATTTTTTAAAGAAAAACCTTTCACCTTTTTGCACACAAAGTACTTAACTCTGATGGTAAGCACTTGGACATACATCAGAACTTGGACTGTTCAGTTACACTGGGACGCGGAGTACTGAGTGTGAAGATAGGAAAGTATTTATAAAAATGTAGCAAAATAATTTTATGATAATTAGTGGAAAGGAGGTCACAGCCTGTCTTTCTGTCCTGCACAAGCCTCTTATTTATTATTGTGGCATGCCAGCACATGGCTCTTGAGTTTTTAGTGGACTAGTACCATTTCTCAGTTGTTTTTGCTTTCTTTTTTCTCACAGTAAGATGTGACTTAAATTCCTAAACTCACAAACCCCAAAAATTCAACCCACAAGCCTCAGAGGTATTTGGAGTTTATGTATTGTTTAACCAAAAGCCTTTACATAACCAGATACTGGTAAATTCTTTAGTGAAATTCTCGAAGCTTTGGGCTTAACTGCTGCTTCTTGCAGTGATGTGCTTGAAAAAATGTCAACTATGTAGCTGTACTGGAGGGCTGATGCAGTTGAGGTATGTCTTTTTTCTCAAAGTGAAACAGTGGTATCAAAGTCCAAGCTGAGGCAGGGTCCTGGCTCCCGTTTGAGCAGTCCCATGGTGACATCAGAATTTTGGCACCTTTATTTAAACTTCTTTTGTTGTTGTCATTATTGCAAAGAAAAGCTGAAGATTAGGCATGAATGAATCCATTACAGAGATATCTGCTGGAGTAAGCAGAGGACTTTAAAGCTTTGTGAGTTGGGAATTGCTTCACTCATTTTTCATAGGTTATTAATTCTGAAACCTTTGTGCTGTCTGCAGCAATGGACTTGCATATATACGAAAGAAGTTCTCCAAACTGTAGGCAAACACTTGATTTCCAAGTGAACAAAAAGAAGTAATACAGCAAAATCTTTGTTGGAAGGAGAGATATAAAAGTACTTAAAGATGCTAGAGAGAGAAACAAACACACAAAGGATTTATAAGGCTGGAGTTAAACAAAACTAAGTAGGATTTAGAAATGTACTTAGAGAAAATAATCCTGCAAAGGAAGGTTCCAACCTCCCTTTCCACCCAAATTCAAAAAGGAACACTATTAAAATGTTCTTAAAGTATTTAGTTTCTTTCAATAACACTCATAATACCTTGGGCAGTCCAATGTGATTCTGTGTTCATTGGCAAAGCGTAGTAGCCTTTTGGATACTTAATCTTCATTTAAGTGTGTTTCAGATCTATGTGTGATTACCCGATCTATGTGTGATTACCCTCTTTTGCTAAATATTGGAGATTGATCTACTCTATAACACAGCAGTTGGGTTTCGGGTAATAAACCAAAATGATATAAAGGTATCAGGCTTCTTGGTTCTTAGTTGACTTGTTGCATTTTCATCTGAAGTGTGATATTAATGAGAAATCTCATTGTCAGGACTCCTTTTATAGAAGTATTTCTGAAACGTCGTGATTCTTTTTTTTCTAAATCCTCTATATAATCTACATTGCCATACAGTTTACTATGGAAAACTAGTGAGAGCACCCAGAAATAAAATCCAAGATTGGGCCTTTATTTCCCATATTCTTGTTCAGATGTCCTGGGGATGGGAACATAGTCAAGAAGCATAGGGCTCAACAGCCAGAGTCTAGAGCAAACTAACTTGCCACTGCTACTCTGGGCAGTGGATTCTTTGTGGCTTTAGGCAGAGAGAGCATGTGTTCTTTCAGTCTGAGTTTCCTTTTCTGTAATATCGAATTATTAGAATAATTTAATTCCTATCTATCTGACACCGAATTTTTATTTGCTATAGACAGATGAAATGGTATGGAAATAGCCTTAATGAGGATTGTTCAAAATCAGAGCATATCCATCATTCATCATTTAATTGTTTCACATTTTATTTTATTTTATTTTATTTTATTTTATTTTATTTTATTTTATTTATAATGGAAGGGACCAAAACATTTAAAAGTTGGATTTGTATTCTGGAGAGTATTCTGAATTTCAAGAAAAAACTACGCCCTCCACCCCTACCCCATTTCATTATGAGAAATATTCTAAAGGCTTTCCAAAAGTTTTGTCTTTATGCAGAACCACAGTCTGTTTATTTCTTCATGCCAAAGATGGGGTTTGGCACAGGATTGTCCCATACCCTTGCCAAAAGCTCTCCTAAGACCACGCTCAGTTAGTTTATATTACTACTTTTGAAAAAGGAAACATTAAAGAAACCCTATTTTTAATACAGTATAAAGGTCTTCTGAAGGCTGAAAATGCCTCCCTGTGGCCCCACCTCAGTGCAAAGAGCTAGGGGAAGTGAGGCAAAGGGAGTCCTACAGTCAAAACGCTGCCTCTGTGTGAGGCCTGGGAGCTTAGGATAGCTTCACTCTAACCCTCATTGCCCTGCAGGCTCTGTTTTCAAAAGTTGCTTCGAAGTCTGGTTGCCCAAGTCGAGACAACCATGGCTTCATTTTCAGCAAGTCTGGGTACTCTTAACACCTGTTGATTTCACTGTAACTGCTCAAGAGAAGAAGGACCTAGGATGCCTCCTCCCAGTCTTCCAAACTACTGCAAGTGCATGGAGGGCCAAGTGCCTTGGTCTGTCCCTCTCCCTCTGTGACCCTATGAGAACTACTGCATTGCCTCTGCAGCTTCTATGAAAGGACACAAAGCCAGAGAAAGACCGTGGTTCTTGTATGCTCAACTTGCCTTTTCTTTTCTCTTAATGTAGTATAACCTCTAGCTAGTGTCTTGAAGCCCAGGCCTTTTCCTGGTACGTAGAATGACACACTAGGCATATTCTCTAAGTTTTGACTTAATATGGCATTTTGCTACATGTTGGGGAGAGACTTGATGGATCTGCTTAAACCTGCTGAGAGAGACTGCTGTTGACCAAACTGTTTCATCTGAATGCAGAGGCTTAATTTTTTTACACTTCTATAAAGACACTTCAAGTCTGAGGTAATATATAATTAAAACATAGAAGGCTATTTTCATAGACATGCCTGATTCTGTAGCTATATTATGTACAGAGTGAGAAAGCATGTCAGGTGATTGTAAAAAGACTTGTCTATTGTAAAAAAAAAAAAAAGAAAAAGCATGTATGTGTGTCTGTGTATCCATCCATTCACCCATCCATCAGAACTCAGATTCTACCTTTAAAAACTTAATACAGATGTTAAAGCTGTCACTCAGGTGAATATTTCCCACCTGGAGGTGTCCATCCAGCTCACTCATTGTCTACAGGCTGCATGGACCAGGCAAAGTCAGCTATCAGAGAGAACTCAGCTAAAGCATGGAAGACACTATTTTCCATTTGAGTTCCCCACACTAAAACAACAATCAAAATTTCTGCATTTAATCTGCAAATATGCTTTTTTTTTTTTTTTTAGTGAAACTGCCACATCCAGAATTTCTTGTTCACCCACAATGCCTTTTCTTCCTATAGATCAGACCAAATAATTTGTTAGGTGCTGAATACCTAAGTGTTAGGGATGCATGTGCAAGATCTGTAAACTAAATTTGAAACCTCAGTCTTTCATGGATGTGCTCCTTTTTTCTCTAAGTATATCTTTGAGATCTGTCAGAGTTTCACCAATGTGGATCAAGTTCCAAGGTCAGGGCCTTTAAGACTTTTTAGGGAAAGTTATCACTTGAGTTACAAAACATTTCTACTATAGTATGAAAATGAAATCATGCTGAAAATTCTTGAAGTATTCAATGGAATAATTTTATAATCTGCAATTGTTCTCAATGCTGGTGTTTCTGGAAGAGAATAAATGTAGAAAGCTTCAGCAGGTACAATCTCCTGTCATAACTTCACACTGATACTCAGATGGCAGTTCTTTAGGAACTTCATCCTTTTTTTCTGCTGTAAATAGGTATCTTTGCTTAGTTAACCTGCTGGAGAATTAGGGAAATCAACATGTTCTGTAGACTCACAGAGTGAGGACTGTTTATTTGTACATTCTGACCTCCCACGTATTACAAGCCAAAAAATACTGCTCTGTGACATCTGCATTGAGCCCAGTTCCTTCAATGTTTGATTAAAGTGTCATCTGTAAATGTAAACTTATGAGCACTACTGCTGTTCATTTTGAAAACTGTGATTCCCTGAGCTCAGAATGAATAAAGTCTCGTTTCCTAGGGCACTGATTCACTGGTTTTCTAACAAGGTACAAGCTCCAGTTGGAGCTTTTCCAGTAGCTAGGAAATTCCTGACATCTCAATACTAGTGGATTCTCTGAAGCTTAGTATGTTATGTTCACACTGAAGCCTTTCATTAATTGGGAGCACTAATAAGGCCATCCTGTCCACACATCCAACTATTTTCCTTCTTCATGTTAAGGATTTAATTGTTTTTGAGGTGTCTGCTTTTATCAGCATTGTGTTAGGAATTTAACTATGTTTGGGGTTTCTGCTTTTATCAGATATGGTTGGAATTGGTGATTGTGTCCAGAAAATTATTGAAGGGGTAATATGCGTGTGACCACTCATGAAGGCGAAGCTTGACTGCATATGGTTTGTTTCCACAGGAAATCTGGCACTTATACTGAAAGAAATATCTGAACCCTTGTGGATTTTTACTGTTGTATTCTTACTGTTCATTAGAGAAGGAGACATAAGAGAGTTTCATCAGATGTAAAAGAGCATTCCCAGGGAATATGATCAATGACCAAAGGACTCATTTCTTTCTGACATTCTGCCTGTTTATGGGGGTGCTTTGCATCATGGTGGGTCTTTAAAAAATGTATTTAAAATACACTGCCCTGCCAGACTGGAAATGAGAGCTAGTAAATAGTTTAATTTTTGCCATATTGTCAAAGCACTTTGTCATGTCAAGAGCTAATAGGCAGGATGCAAGTGAAATGTTGAGGGTCTGTTTACCTTCACTTCTGTTTTTATTTTCTATATCTGAAGATGCTCCTAGATTTTGTTACAATAATACTTTTCATTTAGAAATTTGGACCTCCTCTGATGTGAGCCCTAAACGTTTCCATTTTAAGTGCAAAAAATTGATCCCTATGTAATTATAAAGTGGTGTCAGGTTCTAACCATTCTACCTTACCTACCCTAGTCCTTTGGAAATGTTTTACTTGTAACAACTTTATATACCAAACATGTTTGTTTAATAAAAATGTTGTTATGATAACTATAAACAACATATTTTTTATATGACTAATGTTTTCATGAAGTCGGTTTCATTTTCACAGGTCACTGCTTCCTTTCTAGCCTCATAAACAGTTTTCTCAATCATCTTGGGCACTGAGTTGGTGCCTTAGCACTTGGATCTGTGCCCTATGATTTGATCTTCTTTTCAGAGTGTTTTTCTGTTTGTCCCTGTCCATGTGCTGTTTTTCTGACACTTTTTTTTTTTTTTTGTGCCACTTCACGACAGTTTTTTCTTCATGTTGTGCTGTTAAAAGAGATGAGATATATGGAAAATAACTGGACTTGGTGTGAAAAAAAAAAAACACAACAAAAAAAAAACGGCAGCTGACCAATAAACTACCTAGAAAGTATGTAATTTTCCTAAATTCTTGTGTGTGTGTTGGTACCTTAAAATCTACATTCATGACTTGATCTGTAACCTGAGGCATATTTTGTAAATGAGCTTAAGCACTCTATCAAATTGTAATTATTCATAAATAATTATTGTTAATCATATGCACCACACTAACAGAGTTTGATATAGGAATTATACGAATAAAGTTCAGCTGAGGTAACAGAGCTTATTTCTTTTCTAGGAATTCAGCCTGGATCTCAGCTGCAAAGTAAGTAACTCTCCACATCTCATTACCAAAATAGCAACCTGCTTAATCCTTTGCTGTGAAGAACAAAGGTTTGATTCAGTCTCTGGAGCAGAAATAGGATCTTAGTAATGCACTGGCAACTACAGTGTTGTTATTTTTGTTAAAAAAGGGAGAAACGTGAATTTGCTGCTATATGTTAGATTAAGAACTGTTATTGTTTTGAGATTAATTGAATTGTGCTTTTTCATGTCACTTGAAAATCTATGAAATATCTTGTAATTTAATATTCTGGATGAGTTCAGGAGTTACTTCCTTGAAATTAACTTCTTTTTATCTGTTCTGAAAGAATCACTCAGTATCAGTTAAATGGTGTATTGCTTACTGTGCAAGTGGTAGATCTAGGAGGAAAAGTTCTTCTGTTGCTTCTGACTGGAGTGCTGATGTTCCTGGGCACAATCCACTTGCTGTCCAGTGGATCAGAACTGATAACCAAAACTCCAGCAAGGTATCTAGTGCTCAGCCTTTGTGGAGCACTGACTTAGAAGAGCATTAGCCGAATGTCCATGCTTGAACATGTTACAACTGATGTATGAATTCACATTTTGGAGTATTAGATCTCTGGTGATGTTTTATGGAGTCTTTTCTTTCTTTTGAAAGATTTGCTGTCATGTAGTGTTGGACTGCAGTGGACTGTGGAATTTGGGATCCCTGTGGAGTAGGCTCTCTATGCCTCTGGCAGCTCATCGGAATAAAGTTGAAATTGGGATTGCAGAGAAGAGCCAGAGGAATTCCACTTGGTGAATTAAATGCTATTGAGCTTGAGGACCTGGAAAAGGGTGAGGGAAGGATCTGGGTGAGCTCCCAAATTGGTATGAATGACTGGCATAGAAGGTATTGCTTAGAGCAAAAATAAATGCAGTGTAACTGATCTGTTGAGACCAGCAAACTGTTTCTGGAAATGACTGGTGCTTGATAATTCGTAGTGATAGGCAAATGCCATACTCCAAAATACGTGTGGTCCATTGTGCAATTCTGTGTGGGTGTGGATATTTGCAGGTTATTGGCCTATGCCCTCTGGCACAAAATGTGTTTGCTTAAGTCTTAGCATGTAGAACTTTGGGTGTTTGTCTTCATGTCTGTGTGAAAGGTTCAGGGTTAAGTGAGGGAGAACTATCCCAGAAACTGAGGTCAGCAGAAACATTCTGGATAACTGTTCCAAGGCCTGAGTACTGTCACAGAAAATGAAGACCAATAAGATGGCATTTGCAGTGAACCTCAGATACTCTGCTTTTATTCCTCATGATTAGGACAAACCCTGTATTTGGACTTCAGGAGATATGACAAAGATATGTCTATTGTTAGAGTATGTAGGCTGAGACTTGTGGCTTAGGTGTGTGGAATTTTATTAGTAAGTTCGATGAGACTTCTGAGCATAGTCTAAGGCAATTTTGTTGTATTAATTGCTATTTCATCCTGATTGTATGTCCCCAGAAGGTTTTAAGAATCAAGTTTTGATAAAACAGGAATGTTTCAAGTGCCAGAAGGATATTTGGGCCAAACCTGTTCTCTGTTATACCATTGTAAAGCTGGGATAATTGTATTGACTTCTGAGTGACAGTGGTAGTGCTTGAGTAGTACTGGATCTGAAAGAGGAAGGGGCAAGTGTGTGCGTGTGTGCCTTGGGCAGCAAAACAGCTGACTGAAGAAACAGCTCATGTAGTGCTCCCATTTCCCCTTGATCATTTCCAGCTGTCCTCTTATCCCTGGCATACAAAATGTAATTAGTTTGAGCTTATGAAAATAAGTGAGAAGCATTCTATGTTACCCACCTTATAGTGTTGCACATAAACAATGTGCTCGATGCAACAAACTGTGATCACAGATGCTAAGTGAGTTGTAATTATTAAGCCAGGAGCTGAGTAAAGGGAAAGCTCCTTTGGCAAAATAGTCACAGGCTAGATGGTTTTTCAGACTCTACAATAGGGAAATACATGCTTACATGCAGGAGATAAACATGTATTGCACCTGGACCACAAATAAAATGTCACAGATTTCATGCTTTGATCATCACAAGTTTTCAGCACTGACTGAGGCAGGAACAAGGAAAGAGCTAAATAGAACAGTAAAGGAAGAAGGCAGTATTGCTATTTCCCCAGCCAGTAAGTACATGCTGGTAGAATATTAAGTTTGGGGTGTTTTGTGTTTACATTTCTTGCACTTATTTTATGAGGGATCCTAGATGGCTTCCTCAGAGAATATGAAGAATAAGTAGGTATAAAATATACTTGAAGAGTTTGCACACCTAGATTTTCCCACCTCTTAGTATATTGTCATGATGCAAGACTGAATGAGTGCTATTTTAATGCTGCTGCAGCATGACCTGAAACACCTTGCTGCTCAGGTTCATAGGAAAGTATTATCAGAAACTGACTGAAATCAAGAGGTGCAGAAGAAAACACATTAAGGCAGGCATGGAGAACACAATGTCTTAACACCATTGCTGGTCCCAAAGAAAGATTTCACAGAGTTGGATGGGCTGCTACAGGCTCTGCCTAAAGGAGCTTGGAAATAAAACCCTCAAATTTAAGTGAATATTAGAGACTTAGTTGACAAGGTTATACAAAAGTGAAATACGTGTGGAGGCTGCAGTCATGATGGAAGAGTTTCTGTGCAAAGGAGAAGAACATGTTGACAGGTTCGTGTTGCCCAACTAGAAGTGTTGTATAAGAGAGGGAACTTTTTCATGGATGTGTGTGGACAGTGAATTAGAAAACAGAGAAGAAAGCGGAAAGCCCATTTGGAAAGGTGGGGGAACTCTTGCCTTGTATGAATTTTCTCTGTCTTACACTTAACCCCCTATGCAAGCTGAAATGAGAAGGCTACAGATGTTCAAGCAGTTTCCACCTAATTTAATGCATTAATCTACCTGTTCTCTGGGTGGAGATGGCAGAGGAACTTCCTGTTAGGTGTTTGCTGTGATGGGTGGCAAGTAGCCTGAGTTTGAGAAAAGTAACTAAGAAACCTCACCTGGAGTATTGTGTGCAGTTCTGGTGTCCTCAGCATAAAAAGGACATGGAACTGTTGGAACAAGTACAGAGAAGGGCCACGAGGATGATCAGGGGACTGAAGCACCTCCTGTATGAAGACAGGCTGAGGAAGTTGGGGCTGTTCAGCCTGGAGAAAAGAAGGCTGCGTGGAGACCTCATAGCAGCCTTCCAGTATCTGAAGGGGGCCTATAGGGATGCTGGGGAGGGACTCTTCATTAGGGACTGTAGTGACAGGACAAGGGGTAACAGGTTAAAACTTAAAGAGGGGAAGTTTAGATTGAATATAAGGCAGAAGTTCTTTCCTGTTAGGGTGCTGAGGCACTGGAATAGGTTTCCCAGTGAGGTTGTGAATGCTCCATCCCTGGCAGTGTTCAAGACCAGGCTGGACGAGGCCTTGGGTGATATGATTTAGCGTAAGGTGTCCCTGCCCATGGCAGGGGGGTTGGAACTAGATGATCTTAAGGTCCTTTCCAACCCTAACCATTCTATGATTCTATGATTCTATAAACATGGTGGAGATGTGCATAGAAAGGCTAGGTCTGGAGGTGAAAGTGGACAAGATTCAGAAGCAAACCAGTTCTTAGTTCAGATTAGAGCTTTTAACTCTGGAAAGATAGAGCAATAGGATTTGTGTGCATTGTAGAAAGTTTAATTCTATCAGAGCATCTGATGTTTATTTCATGTCTAAGGCTGATGCAGCTGTAGGAAATCTCATGTATTGGAAGATTGCCATGATCTTAACTATAGGATTTTCAGACTGCAATGCTGCATTTTAATCTCTCATCCATTCAGTAATACTGTGTGAGGTGCTGGCTTTCCCTGGGCACCAGTCATCTTACAGAATCTGGAAAATTGAAATAGTGAAAGTTTGGTAAAGCGCATGTTGGTTTCATATTTTCATGAGGAGGTGGATTCTGAAGGAGCACATCCCTCTGAGCAGAAGAGCACTTAGCCTTCTTAGTGGAGCAGTACTCAGTGTGAAGCTGGGAAAGTGCCAATGAGGAAGAGTTTCGATATACAAAGTAAGGAATAATCATATCAATCCATAAAGCAGAGAAAACTGCAGTGCTCTGACAGGCTTTTTAAACTAGTGAGCAAGGCCAGCCTTTACTGGACTGTGAGAATATTAAACAAGATTTGTCCTGCATTTCTACTCCTGACTACTTGAGTCACTGAAGGTATGTCTACTCAGGATTTGGCAGGCAGATGTGAACTCACTCTATGCATGCTCCAAGCTGGCTGGATGGAAGCTGGCTCTGAATGGGAAGCTGTGTAGCCATCACTAGAATGTGGCTGAGCCTGAGCTAATAAGTCCTGCTGGGAAGCAGAATATATTAGTTTGGGATCAGCATTAAGGGCTGCAGTTACATGACTTTAGGATTAGAGGTAGCTTGTATCTGGGCATCTTGGAGCACTTGCAGGGGGAATTGCATCTGTTTGCAAATCTGCCATGGAAGCACACCCTGAATATTTTAGAAGGGTTAGCCAGACATGGTGATCTGGAAAAATGGTGCCTAAAAGGCTGTCCATTCTTTTTTTTTAAAAACCTTGAGTAAAAATCCAGTACCAAACTCCAGCTTTAACAAACCATCTGCTTTCAGTGCTTTCTGTCAGGTCTAAGGCTTGGTGTATGCTAGTTTGAGGGAAAGACTTAAAACTGTATGTTTGGATGGAAACCCAACTGGTCAGGGAGAAGGACCTTGCATTAATATCTGCCTGAATTCCTTCTCTATAAAGCCCATTGCACAAACCTCTTGCTGCCTTGTTTGCAATGAATGCAAAGTGCTAATTTACAGCTTATTTATCTGGTGTCCCAGACTCCTAGTTTTCTTAGGTACTCTTGAAGATGTTCTCTTTCAAATTACTTTCTATAATTAATTTACATGCCTCTGATTTTTAGAAAAACCCTGTCTAAATAAAAGTCATAGGCATTTAAACAATTATTCTGTCCTTAGCCTCAGGAGTCCATTAGTTGCTATGATCTTGAAGCAAATTAAAACAGTGAATTTTGCAGGATATAAAACTATTCCTACTTGTGGCAGTGGATCACTGCAGTCATTAGATTAATACCATTATCATCCAGGATGCTCATCTGGTTTTACTGAGCTTTGTTAACGAAATGGAAATGTATGATTAAAGTCATCCTGTCTGTCCCTCTAAAGTTGTGCCTGTGAATGAGTCACTGTTTTAGAAATGGGTGTTGCCAGACACTGATATTGAATACGGCTCCAGCCGTCAGAGTTCTAGGTCCAGCACTGCATTCTTGGAGTTCAGACTGGAACACTGAAATTCCCATTGAAATCTGTGGGAATTCTGCATGGCCAAAGCTCAGCTACCTTTATGGCTGGCTGTGGCAGCTTGGAGAGAGATGTAGCTGTATGCAGTATGCATGTAATAGCTTGGGGACTCAATATGAATTTCATGCATCTCTTCACTTAGTCACTTGAAACCCAAGATGGAATTGAGGATACCACATTCCACTTAAGCTTTGTTTGTCTGCGGTCAGTTGAATGCCCTCTCCTGTCTCTGGACGTGACACCTTCTGCTCCACTGGCAAAGTTGCAGCTGTGTTTTCTGTGCTCAGTGGGTACAAGAGCTATTTGTAAAGAGCAAGCCCCAGTGTGTCAGTTGGCTTGCCTGCCCAGCCTGCTGCAGTGGCCCTGGCTGGCTGCATGAAGGGTGGAATATGCTTGAACCTTTTGGCAGATATATAGCTGTTTGCATGCCCCAGAGTAAATAGCTCCCAAACATCTTCGGGTGGAGCTGCTCACAAAAAGCTGTGTCTTGTGGGAAAGGTTGACCCAATAGTTAACTTAGCTTGTTTGCTTTATATATGAGATAGGGTTTGAATAGTCCTGGTCTTGAGGAATTTCACATCTGGATTCAAACACTTTATGGCTACTGTCCCCTAATCTGTGCCATGGGCTGTTCCCAAGTCCTAGTTCTGTACTTTTCCAAGCTTTGTGTTTCATGTTGTCCCTTCAGGGGCATTTGTAAAAGTGGGAGGGCCAGATTGGTAGTTATAAGAAAGGGAAGTATCATCACTGACGTCAGTGCAGCTCTGCCACTTCACATTTGCAAGGGATCAGGCCTGTCTACCAGTGTCACAGTCTGCTGGGGAGGAAGGGAGGCAGCCTGAGAAGTGTTGGTTTGCGCTTCACCAAGTGATAAACAGAGAGTCTGAGCGCAGTAGCCAGACATGTTATAAAACAAGCTGTTGGAGAGACAGCTCTGTGTGGAGCCTTGAGTCTTGATTTACTCCTGGTCATTGTCCTGATATTTTATGGCTTTAAGACAATTAAAAAAACCCCCACATTACTATGTGGACTTCTGGTAAGTATAATTGGCTAGACCCCTTGTGTGGCTTGTGGGTGGTCTCATGTGACATAGGAGGCCAGTTGTGGGCAAAGCTGCTTTTTGTGTATTTGGGTAAGGCTGTAGTAGAAAATCCAAGGCTGGTTGCTCTGTGTTACCAAATGTATATGGCTACACATAGGTTTGAGGTCATTTAAAGCCTCCAAATCCTTTACCCATCTCAGGATATTTTAACCATTTTTGAAAGCATGAGTTTAAGGGAATAATCCTGAATGGAAAGGAAGGGAGACTGAAAACTCAGGGTAAAGCGAAGAGAGCCAGGGTTTTCTCAGGTGCAAAGGGGAGTAGAAGAGGGTGAAAAGGCAACTTGGTAATAACACACTCTTTCAGAGATTCACTAGTGCTGTTCCCAGAACTCTGCCTGTTTGGTGCATTTCTTCTCCTGTGCTTCTGCTCATATGAACAGTCTCCAGAAATCAGCAATTGGGAACGCATAAGAAGTAATTGTCTTTGCCAGGTAAATGGGAACAATAGTGGAGTGGGAAGGAATGAATCACTGCCATTAACAGGACTAGGGTTGCTCTCCTCATCAACACAATGCAGTGTCTATTCTCAAATGTCAAGGCTAATAACTCGCCATTTACAAATTAGATTTAACCCCCTCCCACACAAACCCACAGAGTCTTTGCTAGCATTCAAGCTTAGGTCATAGCTGCCTTTCTCGGAGGGCCATCAATATAACCTTCAAAATATATCTCCACCAGACAGTCTGGCTGCTTTCAAGATCGAATACTCCTCCCCTTTTCCCTTTGGATTTTGTTTTAGTTACAGTTACATCACTGAAAAATGTGGAAATGTCTTTGAAAGCCCATCTAAAGCCCTAATTATCCTTAATGTAAGAGGACCATTATCGTCTACAGATGAAATGAATAATACAAGAAAGTAAGAAATATTCCAAAGTTTTGGTTACCTTAATAAATTCCTAAACGTGAAGGAACTCACAGATCTTCATCCAATGCAACCAGAAATTACTAATGCAGGTGGGAGTATCAAAAGCTTGAGTTTTTCAGCTGGCATCTTACAACATCTTCTGTTGAGACGGTGCTTTTCATCCACTGTACTGATGGATTGTGACTATAGCTGCCCAGAAAAGATATAACAAGGATGTCTGTTTCCTGGATAACCATCATGTAGGTGTAGAACATGAGATGCTGCTAATTTCAGAGGCTCATCAGGATATTAATAGCCTGCTTACTTTGAAAGTAATGGGCTTGTTTGAATTCCTGGTCCTGAAATACAGGAAACATTCAGGATAGGTTTTTCAACCAGGATGGCTTTTTAAGTGAAGTTGAAACAGGTCACTGGAAAAAAGGACGCAGAAAGAAATTTGGGACTGATTAGTAAAGTCCACTTACCAGGTTCTGCTTGCCCAGTTCAACATAAGCAGTTTTTTATTAATTAATAAATCATCCTGTCTTTCTCTGCAGATTGAGAATTCTTCAAAGTGGCTTACATGCAGTTCTTAGTACAGCTGCTTGCTGGGGGTGTGTGCTCTGTGTGGGGGATCTATCAGCAGCCTGGCTACCTCTGCATGATCTTGGGTAAGTCCTGAATAAAAATCAAAGGCCAGATTGTTCTGTTTTACCAAATGTGTTGCCTGGGGCCTGCTAATTAATAGAATGTCTAGGAATGTCATACATCTATTGAAAAAAAAGTGTCACTTGAAAATTGCTATTGTTTTAATTGAATGTTGTCATTTTCGCATAGTGACCGATATCTCAGCCTACCAGTCTTTTGAAAGAGCAAACTGGAACATGGGAAAACAGGCCACTCATAGGAAAACACTGTCTGTTTTTAAGTTATTTTTTAACTTAGGTCCCACAGAGCCATAAATGCTCCCACATGTTGACTGGGGGCCTTATCCTGAAATCCGAACTTGTGTTTCTTATGAGTTATTCCATCATAAGTCAGTGCTGGAGGCTAACTGTAAACAGGGGTTGCAGAATTGGTCTGATTTTGACTTAGCAATAGAGCATAACTCTATGAAAATTTGCTGGAGATATGGCAGCTAGTAACATGGGCAGACCAGCTGAAACTCCGAAGTTTCATGATGGTAGGCATGCAGGATTGTCTACCAGTAAGTGTCTGCAGAATTGGGTGGTAGGTGGTCCTACTTTATTTGCTGTTTTAGCAGAAGTCTGGTACTTGTTAGGGAGTGAGTTAGTTCCTCTGGGAAAGGTGGGTGTAACTTGTCAGGACATGAAGGATAACTAACCTCAGACATTTGGGAAGTTGTGTGTGTGTTTTGATGCATATGATTTTGTTATGTAAAATAGTGAGGCTCACCCCCTTCTCTGCCTGATCGTGCCCTCTTGTGGGTTTCTGCACAGTTCTTTTGAAGGAGAAGGGTAGCTCATATGATGAGGTGAGAAAGAAGATGAATGGAAATAGAAACCAGGAGGAATCAGATCTTCAGCTGAATAGTTATAAGGGCTTCTAGCATTCAAAATTTTTTTGTCTTGTGTCACTGGGCCTATAGGGGAAAAATGAACATTATCTAAAGGTTACATCTTGATTTTTACAGAATAATTTGGCCACAATTTAATTGAGCATTATGAGAAGCATTTTATATGATATCTCACTGTATGTACTCCTCAGACGCATCCCCATGCTGTTGGAAGAAGCTAAAATCATTGTTTTTCTTCTCTTGGCAACTTGTCTTCATATGTTTTATTTCTATCAATGTGTGCAATGTGCGCACAAAGGTGTGTGCTTTGGGCCTTGGCTATAATTTTGAAGGTTTCTTATGTTGGAAGCTCCCTCAATCAACAAACGGATCATTGCATGCTAGATTTTCTGGCAATCCAGGAAAGATGATGGTATTTTGCAGGTGAAAGGAAGCAATGGGGAACGAGGGGAGTATATTTTAGCTGTCAAATATAGTAATAGTATCCCTGAAACACTGTGCTTTAAGTGTGGTATGCTGGTCTTGGCTTTTATGAGAATTCTGGAGAGTTTTGTGCACTGCAGTCTGATTGACAGAGATTTTTTGTCCTTGCATGACCTTCTTTTAATTAAAAAAAAAAAGAAAAATTCAATAAAAGTTCAGCCACACAGCAAAGGATGAATTTAAAGACTGCACACCATGTGACAGTGGTAAAACTTTCATAATAGCCGTCATATTTGTTGGTTTAAAAATCAACTTCATTGTCATAGTTAATAGTTTGCAGCTGCTGTAGAACACAGGCAAATTGCTATGTATGTGTCAGTCTTAAATGCAAGTAAGATCCACTGACTAGGATGACTTGGGTTAGTTTTTCCTATCTATTGGTAGTATTGCTGACCATCATCTCTCCGTGATGAGAGGAATTCAGTGCCATATTTCAGCACTGCTGCGCTATGTGATCTTGCAAGTAAAATAAGTTTGTTTTCAGTGGTCTGCCAAAATATACTCCATGACATCCCATTAAAAGGCTTCTAGGGTTGTGTACAAGTAAGTGCAGTCCCCCTGCAAGTCTGTGGGATATCAGCATTGAGTGAACTGAGGAAGGTAAGTTACACAAAAAGTGTTAAAAGAATCAAAATATATCACCTAATGTGAAACTATGAAGTGACAGAAGCCTGTTTGGAAGATCACCAGGTGAGTTCTCTGCCAAGTTATAATTTGGGAATGTTATTTTTAATTTGCATCAAGTTCATATCAGATGGAAATGGGAAGTAGATGGAACAATTCCTCTCCAGCATTCTGGTGATGTGCAAAAGGTGTATGAAGTCAGAATCGTCCAGTGGCCAAACTGTAGCAGCAGGCTGAGGGCAAGCAGAACAGTATGTGAAGTGCCTGCTGGTTATCATGTACTAGCCCATTCAAGAGAGCCTCTCTAAGGTACTATGAGCTCTGGCAGCCGCAGGGAATTATGTCTAAAGGGGTGGGTTTTGCCTTTAGCCTGGGAAAATACAGTGTTTTTTGGGTTTAGGGAGATTCTACTTTACTTTTCCCTCTCCATACTGTATCTGCTGCTAGAGGACAACTGAGCTTAAGCTGTGGACCTAAAACTGCAGACTAAAATGTGAGGGGTGTCCCTTTTGAGCTATTTCAGAAGGACTGTGGTTATTTAAAACAGAACATCCCTTAGTGTTTTAAGCACCTGTCTCTGTGTGAAGAAGTCAGCTCAATGACTGCAGATCAGGCTGAACTCCACATCATGACTGAGCAGCAGTTTTTCCTTCAAGAAAGCAAACAGTAGAGGAGCAAGGAGGTTTAATAACTGAGCTTACAGGAAGACAGGGATTTTAATGCTGAAGTCAAAGACTCAGAACCCAAAGGGTGTGAAAAATTCCCCAGGGAAGAAACACTGGATTACTGTCAGTGCTACTTCACTTATCTGAGTGAGGTTTCTGATGTGTTTTCTGACCTGACCCTCAGGTCTCATTTACAATTCAGAGAATTTCAGTTTCGCATTTCTGTGCATATTGTGTAATTGCAGTGATTTCAACTGTTGTTATCCCTTCAAGCTTGGTTAATTTGGCACTGCACTAGCTTGTTTTATTCACATAGAGACCATCACTAACACTGAAGTCTAAAGTAAATACACAGGATCTCTAGTTAATCTGTGCTTGCTTTTTCTCCTGGCCTTTTGTCTTCCCTGTTTTTTGGCAATTGCTTTGTTTTACAAATGAGTGGAAGTGTATACCAGAAGATGAGTGGAATCTTCGAAACACTCTGTTCAGCTTGTAGAGGGCTCTAGAAGAATGGCTTCCTGGAGCCTGGAAATTCTTAAAGAATAGGCACCTGCCCCTATTTCTTAACAGTATTCCCCATCCCCTTGATGGATTTTCCTAGTCTTGAGGAGGAAGGGACATCTGGACTGAGCTCTGGTAATTTGTCATCCAGTTCACAATTAGATCAAATGTCCTTTCCTCTGCAAGAGGGAAGAGGGAAGTGAGATATACTCCTCCTGTTAGAAAAGGTGGGACAGATGTCTGGAATATAACAGTTGTATAGTTGGAACTACTCCTTTTGTAGTAAAGTTGCCTGTATCTTTTTGCCTCTTGGGATAGAACATCTTGCAGGTTTTTGATCAATAGTTCTCTGTCTCTGACATCCTTGACTGTTCCCCGAAGACTGTTGACAACCAGCCATGTTGGTTTCCTTTTCTGGAAGACATTCTTTTGTGAAGGAGACTTCTTCATCTACATCTGCATGTACAAGAGCAGTAGGCCTCTGTATTATAGGAAGAGGGTGGACTTTAAGTAAATGCATATACATCTGAAATATGGAAGTCTGCTGTTGCGGTAGGTCCTGAACGTCCTTTTATGATCTGTAGATATGCACTTAATATAGTTAATGGACTGTAAGTACCAGCTTTACTTATCTTAAAGCAGATGTGTAAAATGTCAGGTGGACTCTGTCCGTAACAGTGCCTGTGTCTGTTGGCTAGATGGGAGTCTGAGATGAGATGAATGTCCCCAGATTCTTTGTCTTCTCACAGTGTTGGAACAGTTTACAGTGGTGGTTTGCATTTCATCTTTCCTCTCAGGTTGCCTTCCCTCATCTAAATATTGACAGGATTTTTCTAGGCAAGCATGAAGTAAGTCTGTTGAATATAAATCTCGATGTTTCTCGTTGTAACTTGCCTTGGTTCACCACATAATCTACTGACATTTTGGAACTCCAGGAGAACATCAAAATTTTTCCACCAGCAAAGGTCTCTTGGAATTGTTGAAATAAACCTGGAACAGCCCTGATTCTTGCACTTTCTTTTTTTAAGGCATTTTCCCTCCTATCTGATTTCCAAAGTGGAGCCTGATTTTCATTTCACGTTGTCCCATCCCTGTGGCATTTTTGACATTGGCCAGAAATTAGAAGCCTTGAGTTGGAAAGGTGTCATTAAAACAATGACTAGATATACTTGGAAGAAAAGTTTATTATTTGGCTGAGAACTACTAATTACCAAGCAATTATGACCAGACATAATTTTTCACTGTCTAACACTGCCTCTTGGGTTTAATATCTGACTGAAAACAAGAAAATTTTTGAGGAGTTAAAAAAAAGGTGAACAGATATATTTCCTCAGGGTATTCTTTGCTACCTTGGACAAGGCTGGGAGTTTGGCTGTCATCGCCTCCTTAGAAAGCATTCTTGGATCCAGTAGTCTGATCCATCTTTTCTCTCCTGGATTCTCGAATAATCTAATCATAAAAGTAGTTTGGGAAATACATTTTGTGTCTGTAACTCCTGTGATCTTTGGATGCTTCAGGAGTCAAAACTCCACATGGATTTGCCACAGCTGAGGGCTGTGTGTTTGAATCAAAAATCCTTTTGCACACAAATTAGAGGGCAACCAGTGCAAAACAATGTGGTTATAATGCATTAACTAAGCAGGAAGCATGGAGATCTGTCTCTGCTGTGTCAGGAAACAATTTGTCTGTGGAAATGGCATGGCACAGTGCTTGGGAAGATAATGCTTGCAGCAATGTTCAGTAAGCTGGCTGCTCAAGAAGGTCCTACAGGGGCACTGTCAGGGAATCAATGGACCTGATTTATCACTGTGTATTTTAATTCTACTCCAGGGTGACTCCATTCAAGTCAGTGAGTTTATCCTAGGGTAAAACTGGGGAAAAACAGTGCCTCATGCTTCTTGCTTTCTGCATTAATTTCTTCCACAGAGCCACATTGATTCTTTCAGTTCTGTCCTCTTCAGGGCTCAGCTATGACAAGGTGGGAGCTGGAAGTCTCTCAGAATTGCTCAGAGGAGTTTGGGTATAATCCTGGTATGAGCAGAAATTTCTGAACCCCAGGTTTGCCAGCTAATGCTTAAAAATGGTTTCTGATGAAGATACAGGAATCTTACAGTGTGGTTCTTGAGAAGTAAGGCAATTTGAAAATAGGATTTACTGTTGGGATGGTACACCAGAGGCTGTCACACCACTAAACTGAGAATAAACAGAGAAGAAAGCCTGAATGAGAATGCCATGAACGTGGGTATAAATGAGGGAGGGAGTAAACTCTTGCCTCCAAACAAAAAGGTTGGCATTTGTGTGTAACAACATGCAGGTATTTTGCCAGCATGAAAAACAGAATTGAGAACTGGAAATCTACGTCTCCATGTTTGTCTTTCAGCAGGCTTCCAGGCATCCACATTTTCATTCAAAATCACTACCAAGCTGTTTACGATAGATCTGTGCCAACTGCACTGTTTTATGTATCCATTTAAGCCAAATCATTGTGACCTGATGTGGCTCAGTTTTTTAAAAGGGTGCGCCTTCAGAATTTTAATTTTTTTCAGTTCAAAGTAAAACACTGAGGGGAGTATTGGAATGGATCTGAAAACAGTGCAGCATTCTCATGCAGAGGCAAGAGTGCCATTCAGGCAAACACTTGAAGAAAATCTGTCTTGGGTGTGTTTCTCAAAATTAGTCTGAAATGTTAGTTGGAAAAATATCAGGAATCTTAGATGTAAGTGAAGTAATTCATATGCTCTGATTTTGCCTATATCTGTAGTATTGGGGAAGTGCAATAATAGTGTCTCTATGCTCTGTTTCTGAAATCTTAGTTTGCTTTTTGTTATCTGCATGTACATTTATTTAAGAGTGTATGTAAAGTCTGTTTTTTTCTCTCTCTCTTTCTTTTTTCCCCCTCCATTTTTC